CAATAACCATTATTTTTCTTTTCTATTTATTGAAAAGCCCTTTCTTCCCTTGCTGATCTCCCATGTCACCTGCATCACATATCAAAGCTTAAATTTGTGGAGATTTGTTTAGGAGCTCTCTATTGTGTTTCACTGGTCAGTTTATCAGTGAAGACCACACTGTCTTAATTGATGTAGCTTTGTAAAACTTCTGATATTTGACAGGACATCTTTCGTCTTCTTCAATAATGTCTTTGATATTCTTGGCCCCTTCCCTTTTCCAGATATAAATATATATATATATATATATATATAGAGAGAGAGAGAGAGAGAGAGAGAGAGAGTGACAGGGTCTCACTTTGTTTCCCAGACTGGAGCGCAGTGGTACAATTGTAGCTCACTGCAAACTTGAACTCCTGGGCTCAAGAGCTCCTCCTGTCTCAGCCTCCCAAGTAACTAGGACTCTAAGGCATGCACCACCACATCCAGCTAATTTTTTAAAAAGTTATTATTTTTTTGTAACGATGGGGATCTTGCTATGCTGCCCAGGCTGGTCTCAAACTTTTGGCCTCGAGCAATCCTCCCACCTCAGGCTCCCAAAGTGCTGGAATTACAAGTGTGAGCTACCACATATGGCTCCATTTTCCATATTTTAAGACCGTATTTTAAAAGCTGCTCAAGCCTACTTTTTTCTCTTGGTGCTACTTGCAACTCCCTTACTTAGCCTTGGAAATACTATTAGTGAAGAAAATTTGAAGAGTTGAAAAATAAAATCTTCTTTCTTTTCTTCTAATTGCAAAAGAGCAGACACCCTCCTGAATCATAAAACTAGTTTTGATAAATTGGTGAACTGAGAGCATACACAGTATTATTAATTCTGTTCTAATTTCTGCTTCACTGTGGAGTCTCTTTGCATAGTCTTAAAAGATTATTGCTATGAAATATTCTTATACATTTAACCCATAACCTCTACAATTCTGCGGTTATAATTGGTTGTCTTACCTAATAATCTGTTGCTTTGCTTCATAATATTTAAATTGGCATCTCTATTTTCCAAAAGGCATAAATACTAGTATAGATTTTTTAGTTAAGCCAGAAGAAAGTTCACTTTATTTACTAACATAACTTATACATAAAGGTTTAATACATCTCCCTGCTTCTTTTCTTTTGCATCATGACACCACCACTGAAAATAATATTTCTATAGCAGTTGGGGGTAAATAGACAGTGGCTTTTGTGGCCAGAGGTGAATGGCCCAGGGTCTCCAGCACTCCAGGTCCCACTGAGCCTGCCCCACAGCTGAGGGCATCGGTATTTCCACACACCTATAGTGCATGGTGCCCCAGAATAGAGATTGGATGCTCTCCTTTATTCAAATGGGAAGTTGAGAGTATTGCCATTGTAATTAAATTAATACATACATATTTATACACTGTTAAAATCTGGTTGGATTTGTGTCCCTTCACAAAACAAATCGCTTAAATGAAACCACAGAGTTAACATAATTAAGTACATCTGCTTCTGTGAGATGCTGCTCTTTTAAATTGAATTAGAATCTAATTTGAAATGTCAATAAAAAGTTCAAATATTCAACTCAATTATATTTAGATTTCTTTTTGTTTTATTTTGAGATGGAGTTTAGCTCTTGTCACCCAGGCTGGAGTGCAATGGCATGATCTCAGCTCACTGCAAGCACCTTCTTTTGGGTTCAAGCGATTCTCCTGCTTCAACCTCCCGAGTAGCTGGGATTACAGACACGTGCCACCACGCCCAGCTAATTTTTGTATTTTTAGTAGAGATGGAGTTTCACCATGTTGGCCAGGCTGGTCTCAAATTCCTGACCTCAGGTGATCCACCCACCTCAGCCTCCCACAGTGCTGGGATTACAGGCGTGAGCCACCACGCCTGGCCTTTTTAGATTATTTTACTTTATTTTAATTACTTATTTTTATGAATTTATTGTTATAAAAATGCTAGTTTTTTAAAAAAATCAATCAATATAACGAAGAACAAAGAAGATGATCAACAAGCATTCCCACCTCCACGATCTGGAAATAACTGTCATCAATCCAAAAGCTGACGCATGGTGGATCCCTTCACACCAGTTCACAGTACAAAGTAACCCCTTGCTTATAGAAAACATTATTATCATTATTATTTTTGAGACAGAATTTGACTCTTGTAGCTCAGGCTGGAGTGCAATGGTGCAATCTTGGCTCACTGCAACCTCTGCCTCCCAGGTTCAAAGGATTCTCCTACCTCAGCCTCCCAAGCAGCTGATATTACAGGCACGCACCACCATGGCCGGCTAATTTTTTGTATTTTTAGTAGAGATGGGGTTTCACCATGTTGGCTAGGCTGGTCTTGAACTCCTGACCTCAGGTGGTCCACTCGCCTCAAGCTCCCAAACTGCTGGGATTACAGGCGTGAGCCACCGCACCCGGAATAGAAAATATTATTAAGTAGCAAACAGTAGCAGTATGCTTGGGGGTTTTAGGATTGATTATTTTCAAATCTCTAGAAAAGCTGTAATTCCAGGGCAGAGTCTCATCTGTTAATGGGGAACTGGTCTAAGGTTCCTTCCAGCTCTCAGATTAATGGTTTCCCAGGTTGATCTGCTCCCTGCCACCCACCCATCCTTGGTTTTGTTTGTTTGTTTGTTTGTTTTTACAGAGACAAGGAAGGTCTCACTATATTGCCCAGGCTGGTCTTGAACTCCTGGCCTCAAGTGATCCTCCTGCCTTGGCCTCCCAAAGTGCTGGAGTTACAGATGTGAGCCATTGTGCTCAGCTCATCCTTGGCTGTTCAAGTGTGGAGGTAAATAGATGCCAAGGTTACCTCCAGGTCAGAAGTGGCAGATGCCCCAGGGCAGAATCATAAACCTAACCAGGCCTCCCGCTGCACGAAGACCTTATTTTCTGAAGCTTAAACCTGGACAGAGGTCTGACCGGTGGCACTGTGTTCTTGAATATCAGGTCAAAATTTAAAACTGGGACTATCCAGAAGAACCTGGTAGCTGCAGGTGCAGTCTGCAGTCTAATGGTCAGCTACGAAAACAGGCTACTTGTACTTTCTCTTTTTCATGGAGTCTTTGATGTAAAAATTGGTAACACTTTCTTGCTTCTGGTGTGCTTCCCTTTCTTATTCATTTTCCATAAGTAGCTTCCTCCATCCCACCTCCCAACAGGCACAGTCAATTCAAGACATTTTAACCATGAAAATGAGTCTCCATAACACAAGTTTAGAGGACAGGCACGGTGACTGACGCCAGTAATCCCAGCACTTCGGGAGGCTGAGGCAGGCAGATCACCTGAGGTCAGGAGTTCAAGACTAGCCTGACCAACATGGTGAAACCCCATCTCTACTAAAAATACAAAATTAGCCAGGCATAGCAAAAGGGCTGTCATTCTGCCATCTTGGTAGGAACTCCAAGAAGCTGAGAATGGAGGCTGAGGGTAAGTGCTACAGAGAAACATTCCCAGAGAAAATGAAAATAGGTGTCTGGTTGGTTTCACCAATGATATGGATTAGGGACTGCTGTCTATTTTATTTTGCCCCTCTAAAATAGGTGTATTCATTGCCTTTTTCTTGTCTCTTTCAGTCTTCTTTGCTTGATTTGTATAAAGCAGATAATGTGTTCCTTTGATGCACAGGTTGAGAGAGATTGCATGTGATAAGTTGTAGTCACATCACAGACACCATATTCTGATTAGATAAGACACTGCACTTTACTCTGAGCCTGTTCCTATAATTGTATGCCTTCAGAGATTCCTTACAGGGTGTGTTTTTGGTATATGGGAAGTAGTTCTGAGGGGAACTAGTTGCCAAGGATGGCCCCTCATGACTACAGTCACAATAACTACAGCTTGTGGAGTCCTCTCCTTTTGATTAGGGCTGTCTGTGTGACTCACCTTGATCAATGTAAAGTCATAGAAGTGACACTGTCTGCCATTCAAAGGTAGGTCTGTGATGCTGTGCATCTTCTCCATGAGCCTTTTGGAAGACTTTCTTTGGTGAAAGCCAATCACCATTCATTAAGTCTAAGAACTGTGAGAGTCTATTTGAGGAAATTAAAGGCATGAATGGGAAGGTGAGGTAATGAAGGAAATAATCAGCCAGTTTCCAGGTGTTCACTCAGCCCTAGTGTTGAATTGGGCATGAGTAAAGCATCCCTTGAAATCCCAGCCTAAAAGATCCCTCAGAAAATGTGACTCCCATCACATGATCTACCACTCACATGAGTTCAGTAAACCTGTAAAGCTGGGAGAGATCAAAATAAATGATTGCTTTTAACCAATATGTGTTGGGCGGTTTTCTATGCTGCAATTTATCACAGGAATAGCAGCAAAGCAGAGTCTGCTCACTGTGTCCATGTACATGAATTGTGTCTATTCCAATAATAATCTTCGTGTTCTCTGATCTAAAACCATGACCATTTATTTCCAAAGAGAAATCCCTGGATTCTCCCCACATAAAATGAAAAACTTTTCAAATATTTGCAAATAAGAATAATTGGAATTATTTAAGGGGAATCACTGGGCTCCCGTGATTCTCTATTACTTGGATTGAAAACTTTACATGCAAAACTTGTCATCGTTTTCTTCACTTCTTTCACAGCAGCCCGCACAAAGCCAGGCATAGTGTTCATACACAATAAGCATCCTGAGAACAATGGAAAAATTAAGAAATTCCACATCATTTTCCTCAAGTTATAGGTTTTCCCCAAAGCTACTAGGTACACCTGCATGGCTGTAAACAGCTGTCTAACATTTAAGTGCCGTGAGTCATCTGAGATTGGGTAAGTATTTTGGTTCAGACTGTCTGACGTCAACTACGTACTATAGAAGGATGCTGTTTCTAATGTCTTATCAGACATTCCAGGGACCTTGTCACTCACTCCCTTTGTCACAGCAAGGTTTATCCCCTTTGATTTCCTGATGCCTCCCATAGAATGCCCTGGCCCCTTTTGGGGATGATCACATCCTCTTTCCCCCTCTTAAAGCAAGAACCAAATCATGTGTGGTTTTGTGCTGTTTTAATGACCAAGTGTAGGGGAAAGGGTTGAGGAGGGATAATTCTGTTAGCAGGCTCCAGGAATCCCATGGTCAGGTAGAAAGAGGGTTTCCTCAACAATGAGGAGTGTACTCATCTCCATCCATTGCTGACAAGCACTGAGTCCAGGGAGACATCTCTGCATACTTGAATCATCTTCACATATGATGGTGGGATTCGATGGACAAAGGCGTAAATGTATTCACCATTTACCTTTACCTTTAAGAGGAAAAGTGCATCAGAAAGACAAGTTTTCAGCCTCCTCTCTACTCTGCCCTAGTACCAATAACATTCTCCAAGAAAACTCCTAGTTATACAAGTGAATGTTGTAGATACACTTCTGTTTACAGATGATGTTTTGTACCTATTTGAGACAGTTGCTGACTTTATTTCTAGTTTCCTCTCATTCCTCTTGTGACGTTCTACACTCTGTGTCACACACTACCTGTTACTCAGCCTCCCTTTTAAACTGGATGACCCCATTACCAGGGACTGTGTTTCAGGAACCTGAGACCCTGCATCTCACACAGGACCTGCCACAGGGTTAGTGCTAGACCATGTTCATTGAAATGCATACTTTTCAGTTCCACGAACTGTGACTGCCTTTCATTATTGATGGCACAGTTCCTCTTTGGAGTAGCCTACATTTGAGGTGTTAGTGGCACAGAATGAAGCCCAGTGTTCTTAGAGAGTTAAAGGAAGACAGGTCTCGTATAACATAAGATATTATCTTCAACAACTTCTAAGCATAGTAAAAGATCCTTCTTTTCTGAATGAGATGGGAATCTTTTGGCCTACTCATTAGAGAAAGCAAGAGAGTATGGATATATTCCTTATATTGAGACTATAGAGAAAGTCGCCTTATTAGTATTAGTTTTTCAAATTTAACATGCACATATTTTTCAACCAATTTTTTCATTTTTTTGTAATTATGTCCCAATATAAGTATTGGGAGGTTGGTAATGACAAAAGGATTTATTTGAAAGCCTGATACAGCATCATTTGTGAGAGCAAAATACTGGGAACAACTTCAATGCCCACCTGAACAATTGAAGCAGCACCATGGATTGAGAATATCTTCAAGATATATTCTTTGGTAAAAAACCAACTTAGTTCCTAAAGTGTAATGTGTAGAGCAACTTATACCAGGATTTGCTTAAACACAAATGAAATAATAGACATATCTATATGCTTCCATAGGCAAAGATTTCCTCTGAAGGGGTTGGCTCGGTGGCATATGCCTGTAATCCCACTATATTGGGAGGCTGAGTTGGGTTGATAACTTGAGACTGGGAGTTCAAAACCAGCCTGGCCAACATGGTGAAACCCTGTCTCTGCCAAAAATAAAAAAAATTAGCCAGATGTGGTGGCATGCACCTGTAATCCCAGGTACTTGGGAGGCTAAGGCAAGAGACTCACTTGAATCCGGGAGGTGGAAGTTGCAGTGAGCTGAGATCATGTCACTGCCCTCCAACCTGGATGACAAAGTGAGTCTCTGTCTCAAAAAAAAAAAAAAAAAAAAAAAAAAAAAGCATGTTATATGGAATATTAAACTAATGCATAAACAAGTGTCATGTCATGTACACTCATCAAATGCTTACAATGTGCCAAGCATTAAGCAAAAC